ACTATTATAATTTGGGAACTTTTTCTTCAGGTTAAATTAAAAACTATGTTGTATTATTAGGATAAATCGTTAAATCTATTTCTGTTAAAAAATGGTGTTTTACAATCAAAAATAATACTTAAATGTTTGATATATCAAAATAAGTATCGAAATAATATGAATATTAAATATTTATTTATTGTTATATTTTTTTAAATATCGATATTTTCAATAATGTTGAAAGTAACTTCGAGTTCATCACTAGTAGCGCAGCAGGTGTGATGACGTCATTGGAGTGTCATCGTGTTATACCAGGGCTTTACAAAAACATTTTGTTACTCTACATATAATAATTCATTTTAATATTTTAATTTTTTTTTTTTTGAAAGAGTTTGTAAATGTAAATTGTTTGATTGTGTTCCATTTTCGATACTGATAACGCAGTTAAGAGGGTTGACACAGTGTTTAGAACCACCCTGGTATATAACTAGATCATATGCAAAGACTGGAGGAAGTTAACATTTACTTAGCTTTTAAGTATTTCTTAATTTGACAAGTGTAGATATTATACAAAAGAGGAGAGATAGTAGCTCCCTACATTGTTCCTTTGTATATAGTTTTTAGGTCCATGAAAGATTGTTATTATATTTTATGTACATAGTTCTTTCTTGTAAAAATTTAAATATCCATTCACAGACTTTACCCGGGACTCCAATCTCACAAAGGATTAGCACAAGGACAGCAGGGCTCACATTATCAAAAGCCGCCTTGGACATCAAGAAAGGCATATACAGTTGCTGAGTGATTATAGAAACTATTCTTGATGTCACTGATAAAGAGTTATAAAATTTTCAGAAGCACTACGAAACTGCCCCTACGAAACCCCCCAAACTTGCTCCAGGAGGTAAAAATCTTGTTTCTTTCTACATAAAAGTCTAACCTAGTTTTAAGCATAAATTCAAATATTTTGCCTATGCAAAGAAGATAAAGGTAGGTCTATAAGAATCAAAAACTATTTTCTGGCTTGTTAGGCTTAAGTATTGAAACTACACACTGAGTTTTCCATGTAATTGGTATATTTTGTGTTTCCCAGAGCAAGTACAATTTTTTTGTAAAAACATTTGAGCATCAGTGGTGCATCTCCCTTATTAATTTATATAGTATGTCATCAAGTCCAGGGGTTGTATCCCTTCTAGACTTGATAGCCAAACTAAATTCATGAATAGAAAAAGAATTACATAAAAAGAAAGCTTTATGATTTCCAACATTACTAAAAAAATATTTAAGTTTGTTTCTTCTGCAATCTGTCTTTCAGGTGGTGTAAAAGGGATACATTTGTCTAAAAATGAATTTATCCAACTGTCATCTTTACTATGTTTCTGAAAAACTGTATGCGTTTTAAAAATCTCCTTATATAAATTCCAAATAATACAAAACAGGGGTATTGCGGTTAAATGTCTCACACAAACTTTTCCAAACTATTCTTCTTCTTTTGTCTAAGTAGTTTTTTCTTAATAGCGTCCAATATTTTATATACATATTATAAAATTTTCTATACTAGGCATCAGTCTGTAATAATTAATTGCATTTTACTTTTCTTTACAGCATCTGCGCATTCATTGTCTCACCAATGGAACTGGTTTTTAATGGTGCATTGGGCTATATGAGTGATTTTTGGTATACAATTTATCTTTAACAATATTTAAAAAATGTTAATAAATTTATCATAGCATGAAAGCGGATCTGAAAGTGTTAATAGTAAATTCTTTAAAAGAAGAGTTTCATATGTTCAGGAATTGAACAAAGTCCAATCTGCTTTTTTGTACAAATAACGGTCAGAGGAATTATTGACTTCATATTTTTTTCTGCATTTTGGGTAAATGACACAAATAGTGGGATAATGGTAGCTGCCATTGGGTTATCATGTACTCTCCAGTGGCAGAAAGGCGCTATAGATGGAATGACGCAAGTAATGTCCTATAGCTGATTGGTTATGGTACATATTACCTACAGTAGTGTAAGCTCCTGTATTTTAGAATACATAAGTTACATTCATCTAATAAAAAATTATATACATACATCATTGGCCTCTTTAGTTAGTGGAACGACATCCAAATGCTAAATGATGAGCATTTAAATCACCTGCCAGTAACATTGGCATTATTAAATCGTCAATTATTTGTTTCAGTCTCCTACACTTAAATCTACCACCTCGAGGAGGGCTGTAAGCACAGAGGATCGATAATTTCACCAGTTTGTAATTAATATTTTTCTTAATTAAAGAAGATGTTATACTTTACGATTATCATTGCCAATGGACACCACTGCCCCTACTAAACCTTTTAAGACGTAGTCATTTTCAATAATTTGATCAATTAATTATAAATTGGTCAAGTTTGATTTAATTTCTTGCACTTTTGGTTTGTCTTTTCTACATATTATATTTTTAGTTGTACTAATGTGTGTTGTTTCAGGTTTCGGTGTTGGTGCGCCTTTGTAAGTTTTTTGTTAAAGGTAAAAACTAGGGAATTCTGTTGAATTTATGAGTTTAGGGCGTATTAAACAATTTGTGAGTACGAAATTCTAGACAGCCTTGCATCTCTTTCAGCAGTTTTTTTTCTTTTAAAATATACAATCCCGAGATACTGCAACATATGGTTCACCAAAATTAATACATTTAATTAGTGAATTGTTAGGGAATTCAGAAATAGTGTTGTTCCATAGAACAAATAGAGCATTTTTGTGTATATTTGCAAATCTTAGCACTATGATATACTTAAAACATTTGAAGCACTGCATAAGATATTCACTGACTGTAAAATATCTAGGTATACATATTAAAACGTAATGTAACGGTTAAAAAGGTAATGCTAATTGTACCTAGTGGTTTCTTTCGCCCTTCACTCTTATAAAACGCCTTACACCAATGATTTCATGGGAAGATGAGAGTTAATTAACTAATTCTTCATTAGAAATTACTTGTGAAAAGAAATCTGACAAACTCCAATTGTTTCCAAGGCCCTAGCTGGTATTAAAAAAGCATTGGCATTTCTTGTTTGTTCAAAAACAATACCGCAACTTTATTTGAGTTGACTCTTTAATTGTTTTTCACACCTTAAAGTATTTCATTTTTAAATAGACTGACAAGTGTTAGTGGATTCTGGTTCCCAAGTTTAGTGTCTTTTTATGTTTTCAACAAAAAACAGAGTACTCACTCCTGCTGGTACTTTCAGGGAATACACGTGTGTCTCCCTGTTATAATATTGTTTATAGTACTTATCGTTGCCCACACTACTGTTGTTTCTCGGAACCTCGAACTCTGGAATAGTGTCTTTTAGGAGGTGGAGGCCTATAGGCCCTACGGGTCGTCCGGGGGAGTATTCCCCGGAGGTTGAAACATATTTATACTTATCTAGTGGCTGTATCCTGTGGGATGTATGTGGAGGCAATGACAGCATATGTATATTATTTTGTTTGCGAAAATCATAAATCATCAAAGGACTATGGCTGGCGTCATTGTCAAGTATTAATAAAAAAGGTGTCTGTGACGATGGCTTCGTATACAAGGCAAAGTTTATGTCACTGTGTCATGCATTTAGACCAAACATTAGAAATGATAGGGGGAGTCCGGGAGAGTTTACCCCGCCTTTCGACTAAAAATGCTCATAAATCGCTTTATATTTACAAAAAAAAACTATTCTCTGCGAATTATACCGTAAGCTGCATTATAAGCTTTATATTTATGCATAAGAAAGTTTTATAAATCATTAATACTTTATGAGTAATTAACGATTTTCTACCGAAGTGAGATTTGGTTAATATCTCCCGTCTGGGTGGGGAGACTTGACCCTCCAAGAAGGGAGGACTTTTACCGGGTTTTTTAAAACTAGGCAAAATAAAAATAAACAAATTATAATCAAATAAAGAAATTTAATTAAAAAAACATGGTACATAATAATAACGTAGTAAATGAGAACACGAGTTACATTTTAAAAATAAGTAAGTAGTTACGTTTACAACAGTGAGTGTTTATAAAACTCTTATCATTAGGAACTTTTTCTAACATAAACTTATAACAATATTAATAAAACTTTCACAGCCAACAGTTATTTTACAAAAATTTCAATCTGTCTACAGCAAAATATCTTAGACATTTAACAATTATCTTATCAAAATGAAGAAAAATCAAAGGTAACTTAGGTATCATTATAGCAAAAAACATAACAGTCTGAACCTTTATTCTATGTCATTAACTAGATAACAAACTTACAATAGTTAAACCTTAAAAGTAGGTATTGGAAAAATCAGTTTAAAGTAGGTAACTTTTTATGTGGTCAGTAAAAATAAAAATACTTTCAAAATTAAGAACAAAAATAAAATTCAAAACAAAACAAAATCTTCTAAAAAAAAAAAAAAATAATCGTAATCAGCAGTCTTCCTTTTTTAATTGGAGCAATTAGGACAAATAAACTGTTCCTTATCATTCTTTTTGGACAGACCAACGCACATTTCATGGACATATTTTACCACAAAAAGCGCAAAAGTCTCATATCCATAACTTTGTTTTCTCCACAGATGAAACAATACCAATTATCAATAATAATAATTGGTACTTCGTTCCCTGGACTATCAGAGCTATCATCATACTTGCGTTTGTCCTCAGGGTCTGTCTTACTGTCACTTGACTGTAAAACTTGTCTTTTCACTGGGTCCTTTTCTTTGCTTTTACCTTTCTGTTTCTGTTTAGCTTTTCTGGCGTTTTGTTAAAATTTTAGTTTTTTCCGGGCTGTGTACCACGACAGAGATTTTTTTCTGGGGAGGAGTTTTTGGAAAAAATGGGACGAATCGTTTGTGGTGAAAACTATTTCTGGTTTTTGTCGTGAAATCAGAATCTACGTTTGTCCCATCTAGATCTTGAGACGTAGAAGCTAACTCTGCTACTAATGGCTGCAACTTATTGCTACATATAAAAATGGGGGGAGGTAAAGTCAGCAAAGTTACTCCGTTTAATTTTGCGTATTTCACAATTTCAATATTGACATGGCCTTCGTGGTTGTCGAGGATAAGCAGGACTCTGTTTCGAAAGAGATGAGTTCGAATACTTCACAAAATGCTCCATGAATTTCAGAAAAACTCTTCTTCGTCATCCAATCCACTCGGGTAGGAGTCACCTTGTTTTTTGGGGACCCTGGGAATAGAAAATAGTCACTCGGAGCCATATCTGGCGAATTTGGAGGTTGCAGCATGACTACAGTATTGTTTTAGAAGGTGCGTTATCGTGGTGTAAAAGAATAATAATAATAATAATAAATAGTTTATTCAAGTTAAAACACCATTACAAAATAAAAACACATATAAAAAGTAACAGTGAACAGAAACAAAACAAAAACATTAAAAATAATAATAAGATAAAAAACCACCACCATTTTTAAAATTAAAATTATTTTAATCTTATCGAGACAGAATTGAGGTGTTTATACCCAAAATTTTTTTTTTTTTTTTTTTTTTTGCTGCAACTCAGCGTACTGCTGCAATAAATTTGAATTTATTGCAGCGCTGGTTTTCAGTTGCCACCTGTTAATGTTTTGGACCAGTAGCGGTACAGCATCTATTTAAAGGTTTTTACCTAAGGGAAAATAAAAATAAATAAAAAAAACAAAAGTAGTTGATTTAGATTGTAGAATCAAGTCTTGATAAAAGTGAAATTTGAAAGTCAAACTAGACATACATACGATCGTTTTCGCCTTTAGATAACGCTTTTTTGTCTTTCTAATAAATATGCTCTAATCTTCACTTTAAAATTAAATAATGATTGCGAATTTTGTAATGGGGGAGGTATTGATATTTTCTAGAGGCCAAATTTTGCTAGAGGCGTAGCTGAAACTGCCCGCGGAATGCAGCTGTCTTATGTCTCGGTACGGAGATCCGATAGGCTGAACCTCTTATCCCAATATTTGTTTCCTTCTCGTGCCCATTTGATTTTTTTGGAGAAGGTAATCAAGCTTTTTAGAGGTTGCAATACTAAAGAGCATTGTGGCTAAATGTAAGTCTCCTCGAGCTGGACATGTTAAGCATACTTTTGCATTATTAAGATATGTACTGGACATGTGCTCGGGAGGAATCGGAAAACAAAAACCTTGCGCAAGCATTTTTGTACTCGCTGTATTAGCGTTTTTGTTCTTTCCAATAAACATGGACTGTATGCGGTTTCACCATAGTTTAAAACCTCGATAGTATAAGTGATTCACATAGTCGAATTCTTACCTCAGTGCTTATGTAAAGGTCGTATCCCTTATACAGGAGTTTCAATCTGTAAAAAACAGATTTTAATTGTATTTGAGATGTGCTTTTCAAAAAAAATGCAAATTGGAATCAAAAATAACACCCAAGTTCCTGACCTCCGATTCTCTTTGTACTGCGTCACCATTAATCGTAATAAGGGGCTGTAAGCTTTCAATTGTTTTTACACATTTTTGTTGATCCTAGTATAATATATTAGATTTTTTTGTATAACTTGTGATAAACACTCATTGTTCTCCTCACCTGGGGTTTCTATAAATTTTTGCAAAGTAGATTTACCGTGGGCGTCCCAAAGCCCTCCTTTTGCTCAAGACGCTATTGTAGTTGAGCAAGATGGCTGTGAATCTCCAGAATTACTATTTTTTCCTTTATTGTCCCGCTAACTTTGTCCATGTCCGTCTTCAAATGGTTTTTTATTTTCTCTCAGATATATACCTTTAAATGTTAATGTCCTTTGACGTATGCAACTCAACTCAGATATATACCTTTAAATGTTAATGTCCTTTGACGTATGCAAATCGTCGAATAATTATATGCATGCAACCGTGTTTTCATGTTTCTTATTATTTCGCTTTTCATTTTCATCTCCACTTTGCAGCTTTCTACTCAACAAAGATATCAAAGCAATTGCGAGGGATATGGGTGCGTTATCATATCGCTCCTTGAATACAAAAGAGACACAAATCGAAATTCATAAATTTTACAGGACAGCCAAAACAAACTTTTGAAACTGTTTTTTTATAATATTTCAAATATTTATTAATGAAATACAAGATATTAATATATCATTAGAAGCGTATTCTTTAGTTCTATCTATCTATAATATAAAACTTTGTAATAGCTGTTACCTATTAAGAAAAAAAAGCATAAAAGTCCTTTTTGCATTCAAAATTTGAACCAATAGTGTTAAAAAATATCTCAAAAAATGAAAAAACAGTTTTACAAATTAAAGTGGTTTTATTGTACTTTTTTGGTAAAGAAACCGAATCAAAAAATTTCAATCTTATTACTAAGTAAAAAAGTAAGTGAAACTGACACCAAAAAAATCTTAACTTATTATTAAGTAATATTTATACGTAACTCTTTCAGTAAAATTAAAATATCTCTCTAAAATAAATATATTTGTAAGAATAATAGAAAAGACAAGAGAAAAAAAAACTGTAATAATCATTATCAAAATATACAAAAAAAAAACCATATTCATTTATAAATTTCTGTAATAAACTCAAAAATAATCAACTGACGATACTAATTTGTCTCTCATTAACATTAATAATATGAAATATCTTAAACAAAACAAAATAAGAGATCAGTTCTAAAGGCACGTAATTCAGTAGCAAAATATTATAGCTTATAATATATATGTAATAATACTATATTGCTCAATAATAATCTAAGTAGTCTTACAAAATCACAGATAAAAAACAATTGAAGCACGTAAACAATTTTTAGTTCAAGTTTGTTAATCGTTATTTATTATAAGTCTTTATTATCAAAAGAAACTTTTAAAATAAACTATTCTAAATATTATTATCAAAAATTAGGTACCTATATACTGTCAAGGAAAAATTAGTAAAAAAATGTAGACATTAATTTACTATTTACTTTTTTTTGTGAGTACAATAAATTGTGAGTGTGTGTTTATAAACTACATTGCGCATAAGAGTGGATATCCCTTTGCTCCACTTATCATAATTCATATTTAGCATTTTTAATACAAATATCGAAACAATAAATATAAAAGTAGTAACAAAAATCAAAATCTCTTCTTAAATATTCTAAGTCTTATCATGTCATATCTGAGCATAAAGAACACAAAAAATGATCCGATGCTACTTCTCCACAATTCTCATGAGCCCATTTGAAAAACAAACTTGACACAGCCCATTTTTCTCCCCTTTTATCTTGGGGAAAAGTTTCCGCTGCAGTAGGGGACATTTCAGCATCATATTCATCCCCACTGCTATCTGCGAGCTCAGGCATGTCATCGTCTTCGGAACTGGAAACTAACTTCTGCAACTCTTTTATTATTCAAAACTTTTTTCTCTCTGTTTGCGGTTTTTTATTGAAATTTAATTTAATAAAAATATTTTAAGAATTGTTCTTCTGTTGCCTAGGCACAGGGTTAAGTGAGAAAGGCGAGACATGATGATGTACCAGGTATTGGATGTCATAAACACTAACTCTTTGGTGATGCGTTAGAAGATGCCAATCCTTGAGGCTCATCAGGAGGATTTTCATCTACTAAACCGCTTTTGCATTCTGTGATTTTTATGTGGGTTTCCGCTATTGGTTAACACTTCAGTTGGCTCTAATTTGTTTCCAATCGAAAGAGGCACACAACTTGGTATTCTCTGGATTTGTGTTCTCATCATTAATTATCTCTTGCTCTAGATTCTCTTCATCAAAATGATTGAAAAGTCTTCGTCGGTAAAAATAGGGGCGATGCAGGGGAAAACAAGCCAGTTTTGCGAAAATCATTCACCGAGCTGGTCATTGTAGCAGCTTTTTCATAAGCCGTAGCAAACAAATTTTGCCACATATCTGTTTTTTTTAAATTTATTTACTTTTTTGTATAAAAATTAATAAATGATATCTTGCCAAACTCGAGAGTTTGTAGGCAAGAAGCGCTCATTAAACAATTATATATTAACCTATTTTTTACTTATAAAACATTCTAAAACATTAATATACTACTTTACTAACACTTATGATTTTAAATGAAAATATTTAAAACTAATAATAAAATACAAAATAACTTAAAAAAAAAAATACTTATATCAACAATTTGGCATTAAACAATGTAAAATATCGCAAAATAATAAAACAAATAAAAACGTTAAAACCATAAAACTGTAATTAGTTCTAATCAACTGAATAAAATATATACAAGCAGAAACACAGTAAAAGCAAAAACAAAGATAAAAACAACAAAAATTGAAAAACTACTTACAACAATTTTGGCATTAAACAATAAAGAATAAAGCAAAATAATTTAAAAAGTAAAACCTTAAGAACTATTTACAACCGAATAATAATAATATAAGCAAAAATACAGTAAAAGCGAAAACAAAGAAAAAATAAAATAATATAAAAAAAAACAAAACTTAAAAAACTATTTTACAACAGATTTATCTATTCCAATATCTTATCTAATTCTAAAGAAATTGTAACCTTAAAAGGTAAAACTCTCTAAGTTTCGAACACGTCCACGTCATCGCGTCTTGGGTTTTTTCTTGCAGGTAACGTGTAGAACCTGTAAATGAAGAGGCTAGAATTACGCGCTGACCGATATTTGATGGGTCAACCATTCCGTCTTGATTTAAAGCATCTCTGAGATTAATGTATTCTTCAGCCTTTAGTCTCTGTTGGTCACGTATGTAATTCAATCGTTCCGATATCATTTTTTGCCATCATATCTGCAATATATTGACTAAATATGTCCCCTGTAATAATGTAATGGATTAAAAGGTAAAAACTGTTAGCTCTAACACTCAACCTGAATGCATAAAATTGCATGTACGTCACCGTTTTTTGTAAAAGCGCTGTTCCTTCTTGTGAAATGGTTTTAAATAATAACCGTCTTCTCCTTTAACGAAAATTAAGGATAGGTACTGTAGTGGATCATACGATTGGTGTAACTTGGATACCCTTTCAAGTTGGCCGTCTCTCCGTGCAGCACTATGTCTCTGGGGCATTTTTCTTTCATCAACTAAGAGAAAACAGCTACCTCGTTTACAGCTGGAGAATTGGTATTCTACCCGGGAGAGCAGTCTGCGGTGGGCGGTCGGAATTAATAATAAGCTTTTTTTCAATTATCCGAAGAGTTACGTTCAATATTTCTTTAAAGCTTCGTATATATATACGTTGTGGCTTTTCAGTGCTGTCTTTAGTTCGTAATTAAGTCTATTTTTAGCCGTGGAGCTATATTTGCATTCAACATAGGTGATCTGCGTCTGAAATAAAAATATATCCGTAAGCATTTGTGGATTTTGGCCTGATGGTGGTAAAAGGCTACCAATAAGATGATATCCCTCTATTTTAAAAGTTGGCATTAAATTTACCTTCTCTTATTTGTTTGGCGGCAAACGAAGTCATTTGAAAAAAGGCTAGTTTACTTTTAATTATGTTGGTTAGGAAATATCTAGATAGAAAATGATTATTTGTCAAAAGATTTTTATAAGTTTCTTCAAATAATCGATAAAAAAGGAAGCGTATGTTGATGCTTGTAAATTTGAAGCTGTCTCATCAAATCAATAGTACTTTATCTCATTAGTACCCAAATTGTTTCATAGTGGGGGGGGGGGGGGGGCATTTCACGTGAAGCAGACAGGAAAAAAAAAGTGAGGGACCATTTATATTTTCTAGTAGGTATGAAAAATATACAACACAGAATATTTGTTTTGTGTTGTAAAAATGTATATTTGTCACAAGTATGGGTATCTAAAGAATTGTCGTTATTGAAATATTAATTTTTATGAATGTATTTTTTCGAATTAAAATATTATTTACAATAAAGTATATATTCATAGCGATACTGATCGGAAAAAGACTGTTTAACAATAAAAAAAAATAAAAAAAAATAGGTTTTATTTTCATGTCCAAAAACCGGAAGTAAACTTTCAAAACTTGAATTTCATTCACTTCGACCATTTTTTATTTTTTATTTTTTTATTCAAAATATAGCTTAACATATATAAAAAAATACCCAAAAAAATTCAGAATGAGATTTCTATTAGTTAAGGAGTTACCATTGATATATGTGCACACACGTCGCAATGGGCGTGATGTCTGACGCTAGCTTAGATCGGCTGGTGTGCGTTTTAAAACATCATGTCTTTTGTTATAACTGGTGTGGGTATAATAACTATAACATCATAAAACATTATTGTTACAATGCAAGAACTGGTTATTTGGTAATTTTTACTACTTTAAAATCTTTGCTAGAACTGGTCCTCTTCACAAGAATGCCATAGTTGTTGGAAAATAAAGCTGTGAAACTTTTTGGTTCCTGAAAAATGGGACTGTAGATTCAAACCGGGGGGGTTGCAAAAAATTTCTCTGGCGTTCTATGTCGTCTTTCGAACAGAAGTAAATGGGCTGTTTGTTTTGAAGATGATATATTGCCCCAAACGTATAATCTTATTGGTGTTACGATTGCTTTAACGCGAAGATTACTTTAGACTCGCACAGCAGCTTAAAGTTTGAGATTCCTCCTAGACCATCGCATGGCCCTTTTTTCCGTGAGACGTTGCATGAAAATGCAATTCTGCATCAGCATTAAAATCTTGTTTGTAATGAAACAGATTCACAAAGTTAAATCTCTTTTTAAAATGTTGGGAAACCCCGTCGGTTATGTATATTATTTTAGATACAACTATTGATTTTTCCAAAAGATGCTTATGTAGTATCTTTTGGAAAGTTTAGAAGGTGACTGTATCATGTATCAAGTCGTCAGAGATCATAACGATGCTGCTGCCGTGCATTAACTTCACTAACGTCTCTATAGTAAAAAACCGACGTTAGAAGTATTGATTGTTCGTTGAAAAGATTGAGCAGCTTCTGGACAACAAAACTATAATTTTAGGAAAAATCACATTCTACTACAATTTGACCTTCATCGATAGTCTCCTTTAGAGTTTTAAACAAAGCGCCTATTCCTCTGCAATTGTAAGGAAGAGATTTCAAAAGGTCCAGGGCGCCGCATTACTCATCTACAAAATTAAAAATTACAAAATAAACTAGTTCTTTGCATTGTTACAATAATGTTTTATGATGTTATAGTTATAATTTCCACACCCGTTATACAAGACATGATGTTTAAAACGCACACCAGCCGATCTAAGCTAGCGTCAGACATCACGCCCACGGGAACACAACCATGCAACTCCCTTTGCCTTTTCTTTTTACTTTTTCTTTTCTTTTACTCTTTCGAGGAGCTTCGCGTGATCTCTTCGAGCAGCACGATAGGGCGATAGCATACGCATTTCTGAGGTGTGGGGTTTGTTAAGGTGTTGTTTTGAGGTCGCCCAACATTCTGAGCCACAAAGGATTGCAGGTCATGGTTTAAACCATGTTCGACCATCACACTGAACAGACGTAAATTTTTTCTGAGTTTCGCAAAAACTATAGTATCGTGTTTTTTTTTTGTGAAATACTTTTATGGTTTGAATAGAGAGGGACTGTTAAAAAATCATGTACTGTCCGTACTGTACAAGCCAACCAGACATTAATAGGGGGGACAGTCATGGCACAAAAACCTAATAATCTTAAAATTAATGCGTCAAACTACGCTTTTAAACCAAGAGTTTTAAAACCGGAGGCCGGAAATAATTTTCGTTTCATTACGATATCTCCTCGATCCCGGGTCCTAGAAAGACGGGAGAGGTATCGGGGTGATCAGGAGATCGGCCCCTATTACCTCACTAATTTTTCCCGGAGATTAGAAAAACTTTTTACGAAAATTTTTCCGGATTTTCCACCCCTGGTTTTTTCCCCAAAGATCGGGGAAATTTGGAATTTGGACAACTCCTCACCCGATTAAGACCCGCGGGATTTATCCACAAACCAAGTTTCAAGAAGATCAGACCGCGGGGGGAAACTATTTTTTTTTTGGGGTGAAGTTTCGCGACGTAATTTCAAATCGAAAATGGGTGTCTTAAATATTTTAATTTTTTATGAAAAAAATTTGATGCTAAAAGGAAGGGGGGCTCGAAAAAAATGATGCCAAAAAGTGTTTTTGTCAGGCTCCGACACCTGGAACCTGTCGAATTTGGGGTGACAAAGTTATTTCGTAGTTGACCTTTGTGACACTTAAATTTAAAAATTTAATTAAAAATAGTTGCCGGGACCGCGCGAGGCCAAGAGTGGTGTCAAATGAAAAGGCGGTCAACTGCTCTTTATAATTAAATAATAAAAAATGGTAGGGTCACCGCTTTAGATTTTTATTTATGAGGGTCCAAAGTTGAGGTCACTCCGAAACC